CTCTGCCCACGTGCCTGCAGCACTTGCCGCCGCTCCCGGTGTCTGGAAATAAACAGCGTGTTCCAGCACCGCTTGGTATTTCGAGAAAGGTTAACGCAGCATGTGAGGGGCCAGAGCCACCGCTCACAAGGGCTGGAAAGCCTCCAGGCAAACTTGCCAGAGGACCGGGGCTCCCTGCATAGGAGGTGACCTCCTCGGCCCCCCGCGAAGCGTTCGCTTCGAGCTTCGGCATTTTCAGGCTTTGCGCTGCTAAGGCTTCCTTCTCCCACCCCCACACTTCCCCACCAGCATTCCCACCTCTGAAAAATCAACAGGAATTTCAAGCCAAGAGGGAAGCCAGGCGGTCCGCATTCACCGGGCAAGCCGGGAGTTTTCCCCCTGCTTTGGGGCTCCTGCTGAAGGCAGTAGGAAATCCCCCCAGTTTTTCAGCACCCCATCAATGGGGAGTTGTTCTTGGCCCTGGTGCAAGTCCCAGGGGAACGCAGCAGCAAAGCGGCTGTGCACGGACCGGTCCTATGGCTTGCTCCATAAATACAGGCACGCTGGGGCTGCATTTGCAAACCTGGCTGCTAGGATGGACAGAAAAGGCTTGGAGATGCTGTATCCAAGCCAGCGGTGAAAACAGAAAAAAGCTTAGAAACTCGTATCCAGGGATGACCAATGATCAGGGGGAAAAGGGAGGGCACCAAAACACCTGGATACTCACGATTAAACCAGAGCTTGAGCTCTCCTCACCCCAAAACAAGCTACCTACCCTTCTGTTTGGAGAGGAGAGCTAGGAGACATCCACAGCAGCTCACCACGGGCAGCAAAGACCTTTTCCACCCAAGCGCACCTCACTTAACCCCTTCCCTCTCTGATGGGCTGCACCATCAGCTGAAATGATTTTAAAGCCTCTCGCCAGCTTGGCTGGGCCTGGAAAGGCTGATCCATATTCCTGAGGTCTCATTGGTATTCTGCAGCTTCAGCTCATTAGCACTTAGGTGCTACAAGAGCGGGAGCGTTGGAAGTTTCTGGGTGAGACAGCTATTAGGGGAGGATTGAACACATCTCGCACAAACCAATGGCCTGCGTGAACTCTCTAATTTACGCTATCGATCTAGAAGGTGCCCACAGGTCACCTGAACCAAAAAAAAAAAAAAACCCGCCCTAGATACAGTCTCAGCTGCCTTCAGAAAAAGAAGAAAAATTAAGCAAAATAAATAACCCGCAGCCCCAGAAAACTGGCTGCATCATCACACCCCCTGCTAATGCTATTAGCCAGCCCTCCTCCGCAAACGGCTCTTCAGGAACGGTGCGAGCTTCAGCTCAGCAGCTCCTGGAGAGACCCACCAGCCCACCAAAGGGCCAGTATGACCAGTACGAACACCCACACTGTACTGGGAGAACGCATTTGGGGGTCTGCCCTCTTAGAGAGACCGTGCTCCCAACACATGCTGCTCAGCAAAAGGCAGGGAAAGCTGCTGGCACTTAAATTCAGGAGGGCTGAGCTGCTGCAGCCCTGCCGGTCCCGATGTCCTCTCCCTGTGTTGGATGCGCTGAGTTTTCCCTTCTCTGCAGCGAGAGCTGCGTCCTCCTCGTCCAGGTTTGGGCACTGCCTGTTTACACCTCGCGATAGACCCATGGGGATGTCACCGGGCAGAAAAAAAAAAAAACAACTCTTTTTGCCTGTATTTGAGACAAATAGGGGGAAAAAAACACCGTTTCTCCTAATGAGGGAACTCAAAGTGATGAATTTTCTGCTTCTCCTGAAGTTCTTTCCTCGGAGGCACTGATGCATTTTTAATGGGTCCCGATGTAGCTATTAAGCCAGTAATTGAAACAGAGAGCCCTCCAGCTCGGCCCCAGCCCCGCAGCAGGTCGAGCCCCCTCCAAGCGCGTTCCCCAGTGGGCCGGTGGGTTTTCCTGATGTCCCTGCAAGTGGGCCCGTCGGTTTTCCTTGCTCTCCCCCCCCCCCAGCATCACTGACACCCCTGGGGTCCCATCTCCGGGCAGAGCATTGCCACCAAGTTCCCGGTCCTTGAGGGACCCCGTACCCCCACCCTGATTCTGCCTGGCGGGGGCTGACGGGCAAAATATTTAGGGGGGGAGCCATTCCCCCTTCTCCCTCTCCTATTGCGTGGGGAGGGCTGTGAAATAACCCACAGCCCCCCCGCTAAACCTGCACCTTTGCCTCCTGTGGGGATGATGCCCAAGCGGACGGCGGGACACCCCCCCCGGTCCTGCACCCCTAAAGG